ATCATTTTACACTAATTAGAATTAGGTTTGAATGATGATTAGGAATATGATCAATGCCTTGGGAAAGAATTAGTCTTGTTTAAGAGTTGTAAGCTAAAAAGGGAGTAAACATTGTGTGATGCTTGCTATATCCTTTCTGTGTAAGATTCAGTCTTCTTAGCATTATTAATCTGATTGTTTAAGAGACTGTTTGGTCATATGGGTCTTGAACAATATGCTTGTTATATTGTATTTTCATCTAATGAGAATTAGTTCTTGATTAGGTAATTATCAAAGGGATTAGTGACATGGGAATGGATTAGTCTAAATTAGAGGTCTGACCAAAGGTATTGCAAGTGTCTCATTGTTTTAACATCATAGATCACATCTGGATTCAGCCAAAGTCAATGAGTCTCACCCAAGGATCAACTTATTTGCATTTCTTTAGTTTTTTTTTTGTTTAGTTGTTTAGTCTTTAGATTCTCTTAACTGCATGTCTTCTTGTTTGTTTTGTTTTCATTTGTTTAGGTTGTTAGAACCATTGAATAATCCTCATCTTGTTAGCTTAACTTAATCAGCTCTATGTATTTCTAGTGAATCAACCATCCCAATTGGATTGATATCTAAAGTTCTACAATGACATGAGTGGACTTTAGTAATTGGTCTAGATCCTTGAAAAATTCTTACATCAGCTTTCATTTGTGAATGATAAGACTCAAAACTCAATTACAATGAAAAAAAGATATTAAAAAAGAGTCTATACACCTTGTTGAAAAAGAAGAGACTAAAGAAAAATAAGAAAAAAATATAGTCAAATAATAAGTTGAAAATTAAAAAGTGTAGCTTGAATTTTAGTCCGAAATACGTGCATTTAGATGCGTGGTAAAACATACAAAATCGAATTCATAAAGTCAAAATGACAAAGAGCAAATACGCTTTGAAATATGCTTTGATGCAAATCTCAATGTACATGTATATTTTTTCTAAACATCCATGAAAATGTATTGTTGACCGACCCTATGTGAATACTCACTCTCCACAAAGTGGTGACCGTATACTCACGCTTTGAAATAAGCTTTGATGTACATCTTAATGTACATGAATAATAAATTCCTCTTCAATCCTAAAAAATGACATCATTTACAGGTAATTTTTATACATATTTCTCTTTATTTCTCAAATAATAAATCATTCATAAGGAATTTTTTTACATATAATATAAGTAATACTCTCTCTCCACCAAGTGGTAACAGTATACAAAAATATTGCCTACTACAATAACTATGGACGCCAGATGTGATTATAATAAATGTGAGAATTGGTTTCACTCCTGCGATTCAAAAGGATTAGTGGCGAAAACTAAGTTAGTCGCAAGTTGACCATCTCTATTCCTCTGCTGAGATTTAAGAATAGTAGATAAGTCATAATTACTTGGATTTAAACCCTAATTAACTTAGATCTACATATAAATTAAATCCATTACCATTCGAATCCAAACCAACGGACTATGCAACATTCTTTGGTTATATTAAATATAACTTATCCGCGCCTGGCGCGGATTACAAATGGTTGATTATGTAATTCTTACAAACATTTGCATTTATCTTTGTGCATCATTTGTTTTATGTATTACATTTGTTTTTTTTGGGATATTTGTTGCGTTTTGTTACATATTAATAGTTGTGTATGTTGTTTTTTATCTGTTTTTTAAATATTATATTCGTCTTTCGATTATTTGTTGTTGTTAGTATAGAATTGATGTATTTTTATGTTTCTTAAGAACGAAGGCTATGTTTTGTTTCAGATTTTTATTCTAAAACAGAGTTGTTGTAATGTTTAGTTACGTTAATAAGGCTATTTTTTGTTTCAAATACTTAATTGGTTTGTATCTTTGCCATCATTCAATCAAATACAATTTGTAATAATCTATATACTTATTTGTATAGTGAAAAGTTGATGTGTCGGCATCCAATCTACCATTCTCTTTAGTTTCCTTACTACATGAATCATCATCGTCACTGTGACATTTGTGTTTCTTTCATTGGTGTGAAGTGGATTTATGTCGTTTCCCAATGAGCCAATGGCTTCTTCTACATGTTTTTCTGATAAAATCATCATGGATCGATTGGCGGAATCATTTAGCTTTGACTTCTTATTCTTATTCTTTTGGAAGACTTATCACTTGACGCTATATCTCCCATGGCTATAAATATCATTGCATATCCCTCGATATACAATGAGTGGCATTGCATCTAAGAAAGATATAAAAAGAACAATATTCATATATATGTAATCTCAAATTATAGAGAACAGAGTTAACAAGAAAACCTCCCAAACTTATTCTTGTAAATCGTTTGAGAGGCAAAGAGAGAGAATCCATCAAGAAAATTGATCTATTACACTCCAAAATCATTATAGATGATATTTTGAATAAATGGTCCTCGTGAGAATAATCAAACAACAACATTTTTAAGACAGGATTCTCGCCATAACCATCAAAGCAAGCCACAACAGAACCTAACGTAGTTCATTCTCATGTTAAGGATTATGTTTTCACAAAGAAATTATTCTAGGTTAGATCTCGCAGTCTCGAATTCAAACCCATGGTCAAAACACCACATGGATCGATGCATCCCTTCTTGTAAGGTCCAATGTCTTGAAAGATGACAGAACCTTTATTGTCTTATATTTGTATGAAGTGACATATATAATCTCGATCTAGAATGTTCTAGTTGGTGTACATTCACAGAAAAACTAATCAGGATAATCAAGACTGAAACAATCAGGATAACCAAGACTGAAATGTAGTTATCCCCAGTTTTAAGGTTAAACAGTTTTGCAGCTAACTTTGAGGCAGGGCTTCTATGCGCATTCCATTTTTGGTCTGGTAAACCATCTTTTCAAGCTTTATGTAGTCATGAAAATCATCAATCACAAAGTTTTTCCTTTTAGTTAAAAAATAAAAATAAAATAAAAATATACAACATGATATGCAAGGCATGTACAATATTTTTATAGGTTCTGTTTTCGTATGTATCACCTCCTACAATGAATAATGTTGAATGAATTCTCTCTTGTATAAATGCAAACAGTATACAGAAGGCCTTCGTTATGGTGTGTTTATGTATAGTCATAAACCATAAATTTTCATGGAGATGTTTAACTTAGTCCTAGCTATTTTCAATGACATCCTTTACAGCTCCTTTGAGATCAGTTTAAAAAATAGACAAAACTCATAGAGATTTTTGCAGCCATCATCTTTATGAACTTCAACTCTTAGTCATTGTCTCCCTTCTATATGATAACACAAAACGATATTTAATACAATCAAAATATTCGATCCAATATAAACATATTAAAATACTCAAGACAGCAATCCAAGACACAAGCAACCACATCAAATCTATTTACCCGCAGATTCCATCGCAAGATAAAGGAGGAGATGAACGAAACTTTAGAAGTTGACCACCGAAAAATTTGACTTTTAAGAAAGAAGAGAAGCCAAAATAAGCTAAACAAAACATGTATTATACATAAAATGTAGAACAGTAAGCAGAGTTATAAATGAATACAGAATTAAGGATACACAAATCTAAGAACAAATAACAAAAAAAAGAAATTTTAAAAGGAGACAGACCTAAATCTAGGGAAGACTGAAATAAATAAAAAGTTATAAGAGGGGTATATATAAACTAATGTCTATGTCTACGCTAGGGTTTTGATATGTTTAACAAATTTTTTGAAGTTAATAATGGAAAATTGCCGTACTATTTAACTTACCTGTTTGGTCGATTGTGAGTTTTATACCCTAAAAAATATGATAACATTTTAATAAGTGTTTGGATAGTCTATTAAAAACTCTATCGGTATTATATTATAAACAATCAAAAATCAAATTAATAAAACTGGTTTTTTATTTTCTCTGCAGTGGTATGTTTTAAGTGGAATTTACACATCATCAAATAAAAACCAACCAAAAATTACACTCAATTGAAAATAGGGCAATAAGGACTTTTTGCAGCCGAATTTGTTGTGGAGCTGACACGTAAGCAAAACTTTGTGAAATTCGCTGCAGAGCCGACACATCAGCTTTTCACTATACAAATAAGTAGATATATATTTTTGAGATTTGTTTATATTGTTTTAGATATGTAATGGATAATTGTTGTCCCTTTTATACGCGGAGTTAGAGGCCCTTATTTGGGTCATGCACTGTATAATGGACAATCAGAAGACAGAGGTAGCATTTGCAATGGACTGTTCCGAGTTGGTAAAGATGGTGTCGACACCTGAGGAATGGTCGGCGTTCTCTCTACACCTGGAGGAAGTTGGGAGATGCAAGGAGGTATTCACTCTCCATTCTATATCACACATATCCCACGAGCAAAGAATACGAAGGCAGACAACATAGCACGGAGTGCTCAGATCTATCATTTGGATGTAATGTATGTAAACTCGACACCACTGGTTTGGATTTCTCAATCGTTCTAGGTATTTAGGCTGTTGACAAAAATGGATAATCGTAGGCAATCATCCACCCAACCTGATCCATAAGTATTAGTTTTTTTTTGGATAACCGTGAGCATCCCAAAGGCTGACTAGGCCCAAAGACTAATCCTACGAGACCTTGCATCTGGATACGCGTTTGGAAATATTCTAAATTTAAAGCACGGATAGGTGACCAAAGGGACTCAAACTCAGGAATCTTCCACTTGGAAGTTACCATCAGACCCGGCTCAAGAGGGGTGGGCAGAGGTGCGATGGCCCATAGGTCTAATTTGAAAAAATAAAATTCTTATAAAATGGATCGATATTTGAAAAATAATTTCTAAAAAGTCCATATTGTTCTAAAAATTTCGTTTAGAAAAGGTCATATTTAAAAAAATATTACTTTAAAATAATTTTTAAATACAAATTGTTGATGTTAAATTAATATAAAGGATCTAAACTTTTTTTTATTGCCCTAGAGCTCTTATAACTTTTGGACCGCGGCTGGTTACCACTAGGTCAAGACAACTTAGTTTCCATAAGTATTAGTTCGTTCATTGATTCATAGTAGGTGACAAACATTCGTCTAAACATCACTATTATTCTACAAAATTCAGACAAGAAATAAAATTAGAAAACTTTATTGCATGCAACTTCATATTTGCGACACACAAGCACAAAAATGAAGTACTAGTTGAGTGCTAATTAAGGAGATTGAGAAACAGGGATATTAGTCCCTGGAGGACGAGGACGTCTGCATGGTTGTCCTCTCGTCCAGTACTTCGAAGACAATATTGCTGCTGGAGATGTTCCACATGAGTTTGAGGGTGGTGTCCACACAACGCGCTTAGGTGGTCCATAGAAGGCTAAAACAATTTAAATAAAATTATAGCTCTTGTTATAAAATTAAAATTTTGTAAGAAAATCATAATCAAAGTAATGATAATGAAAACTGATGATATAGAAAAATGATTATAAAACGATAAGAACTTGTAGCATAATGGTTTTTGCTATTGGGAACCTTACATTGCCACCGGAATTCAGACTCGTTTATACATATACTTTAATTTCATGCATTTCTTATATATATACAAAGAGCTCAAACATCTGAAATTGAACTATATAAAATTATATGCTTAATTTTGGAAAACAAAAGGGTGCCCTGCTAATTTTCACAACAAATAAAGCACGACTCATATTTAAAACATATATATATATATATATATATATATAATGGTACTCTAAACCCTAAACCCACAGGCTGGTAAATTAAGAAAAAATTTGTGAGCTTGATTTAAAAACGTACTTCAAGTTCGAATTCTTCGTAATATTTTGTTTCTTTAATGGTTAATGTATTGAAAAATGTAAAATATTTAGAGAGTCTGTTAATAGAGATAGAGAAGCAGAGGATAAGTTAGTTAACAACATCATTTAGCTCTATTGAAATGAAAACATCATTTGATAGATTTAGCACAAAAAAAAAAGAAAAAACTTACTAAGTTTACGGCCTGTAGATTCAACAACTCCAACTTGAGAGGACAAAGTGAAAAGTATAAAAAGCAGTGGTAACACAAGTGCAGCAATATTTGACGACTTCAAACCCATTTTCTTATTCGTTGCGTTTTTGCTCATCGTGATGTAACAAATATATAGCTATTTTTGAGTTTCTATTTTAAGCAGCATTTTGACAAGTGAACGCGGTTTCTATAATATCTATAAGATTCCTTGTTGAAGAACGAATGGGTAGAGAATTGAAATTAAGAGATAAGTGTTTTGTCCTTTCTTTTGGAAAAAAGCGAAGTACGCGACTTCTTTGCCCATTTCATATTAGTCGAGAAGAATAGTCCAAAAGTTGAGCCGACTGATAGTGTCTGTCAGACTGTCACTATATATATACCGACTAATAATTTTGACTTGTGTAGAAAAAAATTAAAAGTAAAACAACGACTACTCATACACCTTACATTCGAGTGCCACTACTAATGATCGTTGAATTGGTCATCATACTTTTCTCAATCTCAAAATATGCATATATATATATAGAACCGTGCTTAATGAACAAAAAATAAGGCATTTGCCTTAGGCTCTTTTAATATTAAGCAAGTTTTAGGGCCTCTAATTTTTGTATTTTTATTTAGTATATTGGTTGGTGTTCAAAAAAAAAAAATTAATATATTTGTTAAGATATATTTTTGTGTTATTTTTTTGGTTGAAAATTTATTATAAATTAATAAAAAGCATTAGTACTTTATAATATCTTATAAAATAATATTTAAATCTGATTTACAACTTATATTTTTTTAGAAATAATTAAAGCAAAATGGAAAATTTTTCTTGTCATTTGCCTTAGGCCCCTAATACTCTAAGCACGGCACTATATATATATATATATATATATATAACCAAAAATAAAAAATAAACAATAAACAATCATACGAAACACTTGGACCAAATTCGGAGTCAGTTGACCCTATATGTATTACTGTGCTAACATTAACAACAGAAAAATAAACGGAATAATTACATCAAATGACAATTTCTAAACTTTCTATAGAAATATATTTTCTATAGCACTTAACTTTTACTCCAAACATTTAACATTTTCTTTTGTCAGAAAATATATATATCTCTTTTCTTACTATATTGTACCGTAATTACAGGTTAACTGGTCAAAATTTGACGTATACAGTAACCAAAGTATTACATCCTAAATATACCTTTTTAAAGTGTCTAAATACTAAAGAAAGTATAAATAAGTGACAATCTATATATGCCGAACTCCCAAAATAAAATAGCCCACCTTATAAAATACAAATGTATCTACAACATTACACACCATTGTAATACAACAATAGAAAAAAAAAACTAGCTCACGAAATTTAAGTTCCCAAACATAGTATATATCATATAAAATTGCTAACAAGCTTTTAAAGTGACTGTTTCTAACTATTTTTCTTTATCAATTCTATCACTATGTTGTGATCTCATATATATTTAAATTAACTTAGTGAAATGTATTTTCTATAAGATTTATCATGATATCAAAGCCAATAATATATTATCCTTAGTGAAGTATTTTCCCTACAAACTTGTCTTCTTGCGTAGCGGTATGCATGGGACCAGAAGAGATAAACAATTTTGTTTTCTACGAATATCGGAGGTAGGGGTTCTCCTTCAACGTCACATTCAAAAGTGACTATGTTTAAACACTCCGGCTTTGCCGTGAAGTTATTTCGACGCATTTGAGGTTTGTCCCAAAATTTGCTGTCCATCTTTCATGATGATCTATCTGCTTTATTTTTAATTGCTTTTAATTTGTATTGTAACAATATTAGAGGATGCTTAATTCCCTCTATGTGTACTTTGAATGTTTGATTTAAGGAAAAACGATTATGACAAAAAAATAAAATTGAAAAGTGAAGAAGATTCTAAAGACAATAAAATGTTTTTTTTCTGAAGATGACATGGTGATGTTAAAACTTTTTTTTGGTGAGAAAAAGTAGAATAAAAATGGTAAAACTATAGATTTATTTAAGAAAGAAACCTTTTTTTAAGAATATTACCACCAAAGGAACATTTTCAAGTTTTCATGTCCACAATAGACACCTAAGTGTTTTGGGGCACTTTTCTTATATTTTGCTCCAATATTTGACTTTCATGTCCTTTCTTTATTTTTACCCCGTTATTTCTTTTACTATTTTCATCATCCTACCTCGTTTACTCAACCTCTCTCTTCCGACTCCTTCCCACCGACCCCACCGTCTGCAAATCAATCCCTTTGTTCTGCCTCCGATATCTTTTTCAATAATATGTTATTAACCCTTACCATTATTAACCATTTCCCATCTCATAATTTTGTAATTCCCAGTGGTGTCGCCTCTGTTAATCGTGTGTTCTTTACAATTATCCTTGACATATTAACTCTCTGCTTCTCGTTTTTCCATTTACCCTCTTTTAAAAGATAAATTCGACCCAAAATTTCCATTCATATCATATAGATCTTCCAGTTTCTCCCATTGTGTACCTCCAATTAGCATTCATATATAAATGTAATCTTGCACAGCATTAGCTTCCATAGGTTAGTATTCCTGTCAATGTGGACAATTCTATATAATATTTTTTTCATTTAACTTTGCTTATCTATCTAGACATTTCTTTTTGGATCACTAAGTTTATCCCGTAACAAGAACTATCTAATAATTAGTATCCACAGATAATTTTATCCATAACATCCTTATCCATATGGTCAACCTTGTACATCAATGCTTTACTAACACCATTCATAGAGATTGTTATCAGTATCCATAAAATTTAGAACATATCCCCCATCCAAAAATGTTCTAACTTATCATACAGATCTTCTAGTTATTCCCATTTCGTACTCTGAATTAGCATTCATATATAAACGTAACCTCGCACATCAAAATGTCTTTCATTTATCCATCCGGACATTTCTTTATGGATCACTACCTATTAACTAACAATTCCTAAATAATCATTAGTATCCAAATGATAATTCGTGCCATATGGTCAGCTTTTTGCAACAGTCACACTTTTCACATTCAAAAGTATTTTTATCACTATGGATATAATTTAGTACATATTCCCCATTCTAAATGTCCAGATAAACTCAATTAGCAAACAATTTTTCCAAATTTGTTAATGCACTTAAACCAATATCACTTGATTGATATGGATACTTAATCAAATATCTCATACTGATAATGCAAATACAAACCAGGAAAACAAACTAGTCCAACATAAAACAACATAAACATAAAAAACCTACTCCAAATGTAGTAGTCACCATTCTTCCATAATCAGATCCCTCACAACATAACCGATGTATAAAACTTGTGGATCTCTTATGCCCAGAAACATGATATGCACATGTTTGGTCCATTCAACATGTCGTAGTGCCAGTCTACTGTACCAGAACACACAGCACATTCACAAGACTAAAGAGTGACATATGAACGATTTATTTCTAACCTCATTCGTACAAATTCTTCGGGTTGGGCATACAGATATGCTTGTTCGCCAGCATTGATAATTTTTCGAATTATCTACCTTAGTGACCTTCTTGTTAGTTTCCCCAGATATTGCTCACCAATCGGATCTTCGCGTACACTCTTCATAAACATCCTATAGGTGTGAACTGCCATCTCGTACCCCTTATCCGCAGCTTCTTTTATTGGTCTTATACCTTGGTTGTTATGACGTATGAAGTAGTCTTGCATGCCTTTGATGAACAGAGTGCCTGGATTGCGTGCTGCATACATCTTCCTAAACAACTCTACATATTCATAAATCCCCTCAAAAAGGCATCTCCATTCTGATGGGGTCAATTGATTAAAAAAAACACATTGCTTCGAGTGCACGCCTGAAACCGTTTGCATACAAAACAAACATTTAAAACTTGTTCCACCATATTGCAACTCATTCTGAGGACCTTCTCCAACAATTTATCCGGAGTCGGTGTATACTTGCTTCCAAACTACTCCTCGACGCATTGTTTACACGCCTTCTCTATGGTCGTCTAGACATGTTGGCGAGTCCTACAACCGAAACAGATTTCCATTCCCAATAACTAATTTTAATCCTTTCTTTCAAAGTAACACAACGACAACACAAGATTAAAATCAAATCACTTTCTAATCTCCAATCAAAAAACCTATATATTCCATAATCATAATTACTTTAAACAACAAAACATCAACACCTTCTCTTTCTTTGCTCCAACAAGCACAAGTACATCCCTTCTCCAGGCGATGGTTCGTCCGCAAAAACAAAGTTGTTTCCAACTTGGAAGATAGAAAAGCTATTTATATAGAAAAACTACTCTGCCGAACCAATGGTCAACTGCCACTTCTTACAAACAATTTGTAGTACGATAGTTCAAACTTCTACACATACCGGATTCAATCTTAGTCCAAAACTAACCATTTAGATCTCATCCAAGTTTCACTCCATTTTTGGACAACAGGAATACCAAACGCCGTCAAATATTTTTGGACATAAGTGTTGTATTGTATCCGCACACGAGGTTATTTAGGTAAATATATCTAGGTGGAGCTCGGAGATTCTTGTTTGAATAGGTGTGAGATCGATATGATGTTTTCGAGGTGATATTACGAGGTCAGGTAAACGAGGTAAGAGTTGAAGATTTTAAGTATTGAGTGTTTTAGTCTTTATTTCAGATTACAGATCCCGTAATAAATGAAGTTACAGGGCTATTTATAGTGTTCAAATTAGGTTACATCTCGGTCAAAGTAGTTTGGGCGGCCGGGCAGATAGACCTGACTGACCGTCTATTAGAACGTCGTGCTGGCGAGCTGTTTCATCTACGTCGACGTGGCGAGCTGTCCCATCCGTGTCGAGGTGGCGAGCTGCTCCTTTGATATAAAAAGGTCATCTCCCCGAACGACCTCGTTTCACTCTTCGCGCATGGGCTTGGTGGTCTTCGATCTTACTGGGCTTTCATTTCGCTAACGGGCCTAAATGAAATTACGAAAAGGGGGCTGTGCTCAGCCCACCTACAACAATTGTTCCCCCCAGTCCGTTGATGGAGATGGTACTTCGATATTCAACGCATCGAGCTGGAGAACTTTCATCTCCTTGGACCTCGATATCGATGTCGGGTCTTCGGAATCGAGGTGATACTTAACGGTCGTCTTGGATAGCGAAGAGTCGCGATAAGTA